CTAGCTCTGGCAGGAGGTCAGGAAGTCTGGTACCAGGCAGGGTTTGTGTGTGTGCACATGTGTGTCCGCGTGCTCATGCGCCCTTGTATGTGCCCATGGATAAGTGAGTGTTCACAGGTATGCAACGGGGACATTCATCTGATGCCTGATGCATGCCTGATACATACCGTCAGGACTAGAGGGAACAACCTGAGCCAAGAAGGGTGCCACGAAATATAAGACACACTCCTCATCATCAAAGATGACAAAATCAGAAAGAGAGAGAGGCCACTGGGGAGGCCATGTTGGGGTGTAGAAAGAGCGTCAGAAATGGGACTTCAAATTCTGGACTGGACACGGACCCTTCCCCAGCTCTGAGTCACTGACTCGGAAATCCTCACAGTGCTACTTCATCTGCTGCCCTAAATAAATACTGTCTCCCCCACGCTGTACATGTGCAGGTGCCCTCTGGAACTGCAGCGTAAGATGTTACATAAATGCCTCTGAAGGTCCTGGGAGCCCACCTCGCCAGCCTGAATTTTCCACATCCTGATTATGTCATGCAGGGTGTTATGTCTTCATCGGAGCCAAGAAGGAACCTAGACCAGGACAGAGCCCAGTGGCAATCCACCAGCGACCTCCTGCCGTGTGGAAGTTGATCCCTAACACATTTTTTGAGTATGTATCTACATGCCAGGCCCCGTGGATTCAGACATGAGTAAGAAAGTCTCTGGTCTCACCCCATTCAGGGGGCGGTGGGAGGTGCTGTATGTAAGGGGACCCATGAGCAAGTTGGTTTTGCCAGAGCAGAAAGTGGCAGGGAAAGCAGCTGCAGAGGTGGGCAGAGCAGCTCATGGAAGGCCTTGGGGAGCGTGTTAATGAGGCTGGACTTCCCCCTGGACCATAGGAAAGGAACCCTCAATTCAGGGTTTTAAGCAGTAGTGACAGATTTGCATTTTATGTAGATTAGTGTAGCAAGTGTGTGATAGATGGATTTGAGGGGAATGAGCCAGAGGCAAAAGTCCAGTTAGATGGCAGAAGGTGACAGGATTGGGGAAATGGATCAGGATCAGGGCGATGTTAACCAGGTGAATTGTCTGGACGTCTTCAATCACAGTCATCTCGAGGATTAGATAAAATGGTGCAGGGAAGAAATGCGGCGTTTAGTAAACGCTCAACTGGCAAAAGAAGGAAAGAGATTGAGTGGCTTTGCAGGGTGGTTAAGAGCATCGCCTCTGGAGCCAGTTTTCCTGGGTTCAGACCCTCGCTCTCAGCTTCCCAGCTGTGGGACCTTGGGCAAGTGCTGGAGTGTCTCTGTGCTGCAGGATCCCTTCTGGAAAATGGAGCTGATAACTATCTCATGGGGCTGTCACAAAGATTCTATGGCCATGTAGCAAGGGTTTACACCAATGCTTGACACAGACTAAGTGCTGCCTAAGTGTTGGTTAAACGAATATAATGGTATTGCAGGAGGGGGAAGGGACTATGAATGAGTCCCACTTTTCCAGTTTGGGTGCTGAGTGGATGACAATGCCACTGAGGTGGAAACCTTGCATCCCCTGTGCCGCATCCGGGTTTAAGAACTCCCCCTTCCCTGTGGCATCTGCGGGAGTTGCCCTGACCACAGAGCCCAGCTCCCTATCGGTAGCCGGTCCAGAGGTGAACACCTCATCCAAGCTAAGCCAGCACAGGCTGGGAATAATGGCCCCCAAAGATGTCCACGGCCTCATTCCCGGAACGTGTGAATATGTTCCCTTGAATATGGCAGAAAGAGGTTTTGCAAATGTGATTAAGGTAAAGCTCTTAAGGTCTAAACTGTGTCCTGGATTATCCAGATGGGCCCAATACAGTCTAGATGGGTCCTCATAAGAGGGAGGCAAGAGGCTCACAGTCAGGAGAATCAATGGGCGGAAGCTAAAAGGAAGCAGGTGTCACCTATTAAGAATGTTTTCACACTTAGAACCGCTCCAAACGGAATGTGCCAAATGGCCTTTATTAGAGGATTAACTAAATTATGCCACATTGATACAGCCAGGTCCTAAAAATGATATCCAAGGATTTAAGTTTATGAAGATGTTCCGCATAAAAAAAAAGGGGGGGGGGAGAGATGGAATAAAAAATTATGGATACACAATTCTATTTATGTATGTCCAGAACAGGCAAATCCATAGATGTAAAAGAGGTTAGTGGGTGCCAGGGCGGAGGAAGGGGAGGACGGGGAGTGGCTGCTAACCCACACAGGGTTTCTTATGGGGTGACGGAACTCTTCTGGAATTAGGCTGCGCTGCCCTGGTCACTGTGGCTCCGCTGACTTGAGTGTTTTCAGGTGCACCAAAGGTTTCGGGTTTGATCCGAGGTGGGGGTGAGAACCGGAGGCAACCAATCGATGTTTCTCTCTCACTCTCTCTCTCTCTAAAAGTCTGTGAACATGTGAGTATTGAAAACATAAATTAGATAGTGTTAATAGTTACGCAACCTTGTGAATATCAAAAACCATGAATGGTATATCTGGGTGAATTTCATAGTACGTGAATTGTATCAAGAAAAACAGTATAAGGAATAAAAAGACTGTAATACCTATGGGTACATACAATATGTAATTGTATATAATAAGGAATATTATGCTTAATTTTCAGAAACCATACACACACAACCCAATTTGTAAACTATATCTCTGCATCCATATGGTGCAGAAAAATTCTGAAAAGAAATACAAAGTGTTAGCTATATTTTATAGGGTAGTGGGGTGATTTGCTATCACAAATTTTACATAATAAACAGTATTTCTATTAGAATCAGAAAAACTTTTATAAAAATGGGACTGGGCTGCCTGTTGAGGTGACAAGCTTCTTTTCATGATAAATATTTCCAAAAGTTTGAGAATCACCAGATGTGAATATTTGCACTAGGAGTTTGACCTATAATGTATGGCCCTGTCCTTTTAACTGAGATATTATAATTTTATAATTACCTTTTCATTTAATAATCCATTATCTCAAATCTTGACTCTGGTACAGTCTGTGGGGGGGGGAAAATTCATCTTTTACAGTAACTAAAGAGGAAAAAAAAAGGGTCACAACTCAAAGGGTATATTAAGACTCAAAAAGGGAAAGGAAATTAGTTTAAAAGCAAAGTGTACATGCTTATAAGCAGCCGGAATAAAAAGATCATGTTGCACCGTACGATTTAAGAAATGATCTGACTAGAGGAGAAGACTTGAATTTTCCCTTTCATTTTTGTAACTGTGAAAATAAAACTTTAAAATGTGACATTTTAAATAGCCTCTGAATGTGTAAATACACTCACTCCAAAGGTTGCTGACACACAGGCAGAACATAAGTCTTATGAGGAAAACTGCCACCTTTTTTAAGCCCAAGTTCAGGAACTGGCAGCCACGAGATGGGAAAGCCAGCCAGCTCCGAGGCCTAGTCAGCCTCCGGTGGGTGCTGGAGTGTGAGCAACTCCTCCCTCTCCCTGGCAGAGGGCTGAGGGCAGTGGGAGAGATGCACCAGGCTATAAAAAACTTCTGTTTTATTTCCTTCTAAGGCATCCTGAGTCACTGGGTGCTCCAGCCCCCAGGGCCCAGAGAAGTTCAGCTCAAATCGGAAATGTGTGCATGTGTCTTTTTCCTGAGCCAGAGCTGCTGAAAAGCCAGATGATGTCACTTGAACTGATTCTCTTACAGGCTGAGTTGTAGCTTCCTATTTCCGTCCTGAGAGGACGGTGAAAGTCACTTAATGATCAGTTTCTCTGACCCACGTTCCAATATTACATCAGTCTCAATAGCAAGCTTACCCTCCACTCCACCCCCACAACACAGAGCTGCTGAGACTTTTTTTAAAATCCCATTTGTCATCTCAAAGCATTTGGCACTCCTACACTATTTTGCCTCCCACCCTTTAGGCTGCAGTTTCCATTTAAACACCAAGTGATGCCAACCTGAGTTGGTCAGAATCCTAGAAAGCCACAGGTAGAAGGTGCCTAGTCCAGTAACCTTATTTTACCAAGGCAGGAAACTGAGGCCCAGAGAAGGTGAGAGACCATGGCTACGGAGGGACAGAACCAAAAGAAGCCAGGCTGTCCCCAGTGGCATCCCCATCCTTCTAGTCCCAGATCCTGTATCTGAGAGGGCCTATTTAAACGCTCTCTGGAGATGTGTCTCAAGCTTTGTGGCCAAAGCACGGCTTACCCTGTGATCACTCCCTTTCTTTACAGCCCTCTCCCTGCTTCTGTGCAGAGCGAGAAAGGACACGGGCCAGGTGGCTGGGAAAAGACCCTTCTGGAAACAGGTGGCAGCCGGAAGGCCTTTCCTGTTAGAGGAGCTTGTCTGGGACAGCACTGATGAATGGGGAGGTGCCAACTCCACGGTTGTAGAGTTGTAGGCACTCCATTTTCCTCGGCTACCCTGCTCTTGACATGGCAAAGCTACGTGTTTAGGTCATTTAAAATTCCCTTGTTTTTTTGTCAATCATCACCCAAAGATATTTTTCCATTTATTTTCAGAGTAGGAGGGAGGAGAGGAGCACATGAGAGAAACATTGATGTGAGATAGATCAACTGGTTGCCTCCCACAAGTGCAGTGACCGAGGCGGGGCTGGAACCTGCAACCCAGGTACATGTCTTTTACCAGGAATCGAACCGGAGACCCTTTGGTGTACGGGCACTCTAACCACTGAGCCACACCAGCCAGGGCCCCATCTTACTCTTAAAAGTGTACTCCTTTCTACAATTCCTGAAGACTTGGATTAACATTGAGGTTAAAGGGAAATCAACCGTTTTATGGTGTACGTGTTCTGCACAAGGCAAGCCTGGATACAGAGTAGGCCAAGAGATTGTGTTAAAACGTCGGTTAACATCCAAACTACTTAAAATTAGAATAAGGCTGCACTAGGCTGTGTATTTCTGGGCCCTTGCCTACCAAGCTAGAGCCTAGGTGGAATTACACCCGTGGGCAGGTACATCTTGTTCACTGAGTGAAGGGATTGGAAGCTACGCAAACTAAAAACCTACACAGTTCGCAGTTAGAGATGAAAGGCTGCAGAAATGTTTATTGAATACAGTGCCAGGTTTATAAATAAAACTTATTTACAATTTCCATAGAGTTGGTCCCCCATCAGAGAGGTGGTAAAATCTCCAAACAGTTTATCTTAAGATTTACAGAAACGTTCAAGTACATCTCCTTTGCAAATCGCCACGGTGAAGGGAAACTTCAGTAACAAAAGAACTACCACCATCTTTGCTACAGACGTGTTGAATGAACATTGTAATAGATCTGGAGAAAGAACACGCGCCCCACCCATGCCACTACCTTCTCACTCCAAGGGATACAGACAGCAAAGTGTCTCCTACAGGACAACTTCAAGGGATAAAAAAAGAAAATAGTCATTGTTAGCTGAAGGGATAGATTAAGACACATTCGTGGAATCTAGTCACTGCCGAAAGGATAAATTTAGGATATACAATAAAAGGATTATTTGAGATATACAGTAATTAGTTCGAATATTTAAAATAATTGAATGAACAAAGAGCAGACTGACCAAATTTACATTCTTTGTTTAGGAAGACGTTCCCAGTATGCTGAGAGGCCAATAATATGCTGCTACTCTGACAGGCCACAGCAGTGCAGGGCCTACTGGACAGCCACTCATTACAATATGGTTACAAGTACAGTCAGACATGCATTTATAAAGAGAATATAAAAATATGTACAGTAGCTAATTTTCAATGTGTTTAAGTTGCTGAAAGACACCAATTAAAGTGTGCAAAAATTCATTTGTCAAAAAATCAGAAAAAGCCTTCCTTGGCAACAGTGCATTAAAAGCCCATCTGAAATATCAAGATACATTTGCCTTGCTCAACACCTACCCCAAACAGATGGAGAACGAAACTATGAAAGTGCCAAGTACTCAGCAGTTTTTTATGGCAAGTCTCAGGCTCAAGCGGGATGCCAGTTAAACTAGTCACTTTATATATATAAATATATATATGTATATTTATAGAGCAGTTAGAAGTAGGGGCAAGAGTTTACAGGAAGGTGCTAACCAACTTAAAAAATACTGCCACAACATCCAGCTATTTCCTCTCTCAAATTCACACAGACTGCGAACACCTAACCCCTGGCTGGTCGTCCCCTCAAATGCCAGAGGAAAAAGGCTCCAGTGGACTCAGCCGCACCTCTGCGCCAAAAACCGCCGCAACACGGCAGTCCCTTGGGGAAGAGCTTCTGGTTCCCACACAGGATCCTGGCCCTATCAGAATCTGGTTTCAAAGGCAGTCTTTTAGGAAAGACCGTGGGACCACTGAAATGGAGTCCACCCAGCTTTTAGAAAAAGACTTGGTTGAAAGGGTAAGATAGAAGACAAAGTTTTCAACAAGTGACCCCCAGCCCTCTTTGAAACCACCCAGAAGTCATCTGCCACAGGCCTGAGACTGTGTCAACAGTCAGGCTATTGGACCTCCCTGCAAGAAACAACCAGGTCAATACTTTATTCAAACCAGGAGCCCTCGGTACTCCTATCTCACCGGAATCCCCAAGGTATTCTTAGGTGATCCTTCCAGAGTCAGGAAAGCATGAAAGCCAAGCCCAGCTCATGACATGAACCTGCCTTTTACCAGAGTCTAAGGACCAGCCGCAGAGGCAGTTGGGCAGGCTCCTCTCCACTGCTCTGACCCACCCCTCTGGCAGGAAACCTAACAAGCTGCAAAATGCCAGAAAGACGGGGAGTAGGAGAGGGAGAAGCCAAAGGGTCTCTATAAATCAGCCCTGAATGCACCCATTTGGCTGCCAAGAGCTTCTCGCTGCCTCGCAAGCAGCCTGCCACTGTTCCCTGGCAAATTAAAACCTCCCACACAAACACTCAAAACCCAAACCTCCTTGCTAATAAGATACAACCAGTTAACACCCTGAAAAATGCACATCCAGCCTTCATTTCAAAGAGTTCTGCAAAATTCAACATGCCTTCAAAGGGGCTTTTTAAGCAGACCAATCCCACTGCAAAGACCAGTACCAGCATCTTCGTTTTGGTTACAGGTTTATAATTAGACACAAGATTCCCTCCTGGGTGGTTTTTTACTTTTAAGCTGAGGGCTACCATTAGTTCTACATGGGGGAAAAAAGCAAAGTCAAGTCAAGTTTTTTAAAAAAGTAAAAGGCGGCTAAGGTGGATATAATCATAACTTAAAAATTGTGAATCAAAAGGTGACTGGTAGTGTCTTTTAGACATGAAGAGACTGGCTTAGAAAAGTGACTACTGCTTCTACCACACACAGCGAGGATTGAATTACAGACACACTAAATCATGTCTCTTGCACAGATGGTCTCAAGTAGTTACATAAAACAGGTAATCAGCAGCACAACTGAGACGAACCCCTAAATACATGCTTGAGAGAAAGTGGTTTTTTTTTCCTTCATTAAGAGCTCCACTGCCTGAATAATCATTAAGTTACCATGATTCACTGTTCCCCCTCCCCCCGGTGAAAACACAATAGACCTACATGTCCATAAACATGATGAAGCAGCCAGTATTTGCTTAGTTTTAGGCAAGGTCTCAGCTCAGAGGTTGGTGCTGGGATGCTGGAGGGAGGGAGGGAAACCCAATGCTGGGTTGGGGCAGTTAAAGGTGCACTGGCCTCCCCTCCAACTGCCTTGTCCCCGTTTAGATCTCAGCTTTACAACGCATTTAACACCACTTTAAGTTAATGGTCTTTTTATTGGAAAAAAAAATAAAAAGACTAGCATTTACAACTTGGAATGGACATAAATTGTAGTTTCTTGAACAGCAATGTTGATGGTTGTGCTGAAGTCCACAGCCACAGCCTACCTCTGCTGGCTCCAAGTCATGGTTCAGAAGGTTTTAAAAACGGAGAGTCCAAAGATGCTCCCTTGGTAAAAGTTTCGTTTTAAAAATTTGTGTGAATGGTGACAGCCTGACACCCATTTCGCTCTAAGTACAATGCAGACAACGCTAAACCAACCAACACACGTGGGGCATGCCACCAGGATGTGTCACCATCACCATGGGTCGGGGCACAAGAGGGACCATCCTGTTAGTGGGTCTACGTCTAGACAGTTTATTCTTCAACCATTTTTCTACACACATCCTGAGGTAAACCAATTTTAAATGTCTGCTTTCAGCAAACCAGCTATGACAATTTATACTAACAAACTGAACTAGAACCCATTTGAATAGGTTTTGAATGTTTTTTCATTTTTCGTTTTTAATACAAATGCCTGACTGTGCTCAATTGTCAAGCTGCATGCATGAAAAACTGGCCAGCCCAAACAGTGTCTTAATCATTAGCAAATGGAGCTGCAAGGAGTCCACTGAGTGCTTCCTTATCATTAAGGTAGTACAAGGATTTATATTGTAAAACTGATGTGTAGCTTGATCTTTAGGGGACAGGACCACCAACCAATACATGCAGATTTTTTGTGTGTGTGGACAGAAGGTACTTTTGACATTCAGTTTTGCTATATAGAAACAGAATGAGGAAATGATTTTTTTTTTTTTTTTTGCAAGAGGTAAGTAAAAGATTCAATTTGATTCTTCTAGAGGGGGGGGAAGGTTGAAAGTAGGTCTTCATTTTGCAGTCATCATCTGTACGAATTCTGAAAAGACAAATGATCATAACTTTCAGTTATCTTCAAAAGCTTTATGAACACATCTTTACTCTGCATTAAAAAAACCAGTGAGTGTCTAGTGAAGCAGTTAACTTGTTTATAGATTCCGAAGGGAAGACCACTGAAAACTAAGCTGAAGAAACGCAGTGTTTACCTTCATAGTTGACTTGTCCGTCTCCGTCAATGTCTGCTTCTCTGATCATTTCATCTACTTCTTCATCTGTTAGTTTTTCCCCTAAGTTTGTCATGACATGACGCAGTTCTGCCGCACTGATGTAACCATTTCCGTCCTGTGAACATTCAGCAATTGTTACTAATGGGGGATGATAGTGGTTCGTGTGGGCAAGTAGGTCTTTTGACCTCTCAAGTTACTGCCAACTCTGCTCTCGTTGACAATTCTCCGATCTCCAGTTCCCACCTCTACCCACTACATACACGCAGTCGGCAAAGGCAGACACACAGGGGCTTTTCAAAAGCTATGAGAAATTGAAAGTAACGATCAAGAAACTAGGTTCAAATTTTCTCAGCTATTTCTTCTGCTTGCTCTTACTCGATAAGGTTACTGCAATAAGTCGGGATACTTGAAAGTGAGATTTCAGAGGCTCGGGCAGTTAGGTAAGTTTTTCTAACTAGGACAGATTGTTGAAGCTTTTAGAAACGATAGCAGAAAAGCAGTACTTAAGTACCGTCTGCAATGCAGACGCAGGATTACCTTGTCAAAGACTCGGAATGCCTCACGGATTTCTTCTTCACTGTCTGTATCTTTCATTTTTCTAGCCATCATAGTCAAAAATTCTGGGAAGTCAATGGTGCCATTGCCTCAAATTAAAAAACAAAAAGCTCACGTAAAATAAGTGCTCCAACAATGCTCCGCTGCAGTAATGATTTTAGAACCACTTTATAGAATGGCAAGCGCTTGCTAGGACAAACGGGTAAATTATTTTATTAGGTTGAACCACTTATAGGTCTAAACTTTTGAAATGCTTCACAGGGCAATTGCACATGAGTCACATAATTCAAACTAATAATCAGTGCCCTGGGTAGCATTTAAGGATGCAAAGGAAAACAGCATATACAGAACCTTTACCACAGAAGGGGGATGTACAATTCAGGACAAAAAAGCTTACAGCACTGCAGGCTGACTCTTTCCACCCCCAAGGGAAGCATTCCAGATTGTCTCCGCCCCGCCCCTCCGCTCCCCTCCAAGCTAGGGCGATCAATGGGATCCAACTCTGCCTTGGCTAGTGATGCTGGTCAAGGCCTAGATTTGGGCCCCCAGAGATGACAAGGATCATGAGGGGAAAACTGACTTTATTATGCCACGGACCATAAAGCTTTAGAAAGTCTTCTCCAGGGGGCATTTCTCAGCCACGTTATGATAAGTCACCTAATCGTTTTCTCCCCACTCAGTATCTTTATTTCCCATTAAGCACAAAACTCAGAAGTGTTTTCACAGCTCAGATCATTAACATTAGAAAACTGTGTCAAAGCAATCTGTCCTATGGCCAGTATTACAAACAACTCCTCTAAAACCAATAGTTAGATGAACAGGCCAAAGACAAACCACCTGATTAACAATGTAACTTGAATTAAATGGAAACAAAGTTAAATTAGAAGAAAAAAGCCTTAGGTCAAGTTACTAATTTTCACCAGTACGTTTAAATCAAAACAGTAATTCAGAGATCTCTTCAAGTTCTTTTGGCCTCCAAAATTTAAAGCATTATTAATATGCACACAAGTCCATATTAATTATTTAGTGTGCTCACAGCCAAGTGGAGATGTATGTCCTTAGGCATCATCATATTTATTCACTGCGAATACTAGATTCTGTCACAAGGACCTAACCCCCCTTGTTTCATACAATCTCAGAGAGCCCAATATACTCTGCTAATCCCGAAGCCCAGTTTCACAGGGTTTACACAAAATAGGAGACACACCCCATGTTCCCAGAAAGCTGATCACTTTAGCAAACTAGAGAGAACTATGTACAATCTCTTTTTCCAAAACAATATTAAGGCTGAAAACAGTCTTTAGAAGTAGTTTGAATGGGCTAAAACCATTGTTAAAGAATTTAACCAAAATCCCTGCTTCTAAATGCATGTTACCAGACAAGTGTAACTCAACTGCATCACCTTTTGAAACTCTACTTTTTTAATGACTACTATCAAGTCCATCATCTAGAAAGTAGTCTAGATCCAAACTGTTTGTTCTTAGGTCACCTTTTAAAAATGTACTATGTTCTACAATGTTACATAGTATATTTACTAGTAATATATATGGTTTCAGGAGGGGGTGAGCTCAAAAACTATTTACTGATGGAAGTGAGCAATAAAAGGTCTACTGTCCACTGTTCTAGAGTCCAGAAGATGACTAATTGGTGACCAACTGCTATAGGGGTTACTGCTTGTTCCTTCCTGCTCCATGCCTCACACATCTCCTCCTGTTAGGTTCTGTATATCTATTCCCTACAGTTATCATGTACCCCCACCTCCAAGCCTCACAAGAGCTTCAAAATTCTCCTCAACAAACACATCTACAGCTCACACTGTATCCAATTCTGTGTTAATGTCTAAGAATGCTCTTCACCCACTTCACTTAAGGGTCTTTCTCCTCCTCTTAGAGACAATAAGCTTTTTTAAAAAGGTCTACGGCTATTTTTTACTTCCCCACAGAATTCAGTGCAGACTTACGGGCCAGTTGATAAGAGACTGAGCTGTAGGTCACGGCAGGTAGAAAAGAACAATACAGTGATCTGATCCAGGAAACGTTCTAGTCAGTGAAAGGGGCAAAAGGCAGGCCCATAATCTCCTATTTTAATTGCCAGTGGCCGTAAGGCAACCACAGAAAGGATCTTGGCACATTTATTTTGCTCTGGGGACCTGAAAGGCAATCTCATAACATGTCTGAACTTGAATTACACAACACTGGTACTCATTCATAGTTCTAAAGCTCTTACCGTCAGCATCCACTTCATTGATCATATCCTGCAATTCGGCTTCTGTTGGGTTCTGACCCAGTGACCTCATGACAGTGCCAAGTTCCTTTGTTGTGATGGTGCCATCGCCATCTTTGTCAAATAGGGAGAAAGCTTCCTTGAATTCTAAAAACAAAAGTTTACCTTTTAGAATGAATGTCTTTACCCAACCCAGCCACAATACACACTTCTCTGGGGCTTGCCAAAGCAAGCTGTCCAAGGTGTGCAAGCTAACAGAAACTGCCTAGTCTTTATCTACTGAAATAAAGACAACAATAGTCCTATTGGACTGGCCTACAGCAGTCCATAGAGCAAACACTGCTCCTGTTAACCAGCTCCATAAAACCACAATATTCTCACATTTTTAAAGAAGGCTAAGCTTGGCCCAGCCGGGCGTGGCTCAGCAGTTGAGTGTCGACCTAGGATCCAGGCGATCGGGGTTCGATTACCGGTCAGGGCACATGCCTGGGTTGCGGGCTCGATCCCCAGTCGGGGGGCATGCAGGAGGCAGCCGATCAATGACTCTCATCACTGATGTTTCTCTCTCTCCCTCTCCGAAATCAATAAAGATATATTTAAAAAAAAAAAGGCTAAGCTTGAACACGTTTAAATTAGTCCTATATGACAAGTGAAGACTGGTCCATGTGTTCCCTTAAGGTCCCTTCCTGTTAAATTTCTATAGCCATAGAACACATCATTTCATAGCAACATGACGGTTACTAAGATGTACATTCCCAGGTAACCAGTGTGTTCTCTCTACATGGCATTCAGAATATTCCAAAGGCATTCCTGACTTCCTAAGGAGAAACTATCTCAAAAAAGTCCTCCAGGGAACATTAAAATCTGAACACAACTCCCTTCCCAATTATTATAATGGTCCTAATACTTATTTTCACTCATTCCCACAGATTTTAGAGTATCAAACACAGGTTTCACGGCAGATTTCTAAAAGACCTGGGGCATAAAAATTCTGAACTACATTTCTGAGTAGTAAACTCATTGCAGCCTCATTATATGCAAAACCTCGCACACCATGAAAACATAGTTGGCTACTCCAGAGTGTAACAAATGGATATTCTTAGTTCCACTAACTTTCATGTGTCTCCAAAATGCTGGCAAGGAGTAACATCTGACCTAAATATTTCTGCTTTTTTCACTTATACAGATTCTTAGAAAACTGTTCAGATTATAGGGGAGAGGGGACAGAGGAGTCACCAAAACTGACTGGTGCCTAGTTCTGGCCTAGTGGGGACGACTCCCTGAAGTCATCAACTTACCAGCAATCTGCTCTTCAGTCAGCTGATCAGCCTACATAGAGAAAGAAAAGGTCATAATTCAGTCTACAGCACTGAGATCAACGCTGTTGCTCCAGTTATACTTTTAATAGGGACCTTTGGTCAATATTTATAATATAACAACTGTTTGAAAACTTTGAGCACTGTCATTTAACGAAAACAACTAAAATAAAGAACTCTTTATGCTATTTTAAAAATAAAGAATGACAAGGAAGTGACAGCTCCCTCTGGGTTTTCTTTCTGGGCCTAGGGTTGTGTGCCGCGAGGTCTAACTAGGAAGGGTCAAGTCATGATTTGAAAAATGGCACCTCTAGTGGCAAAGGGTCCCCAGCAGAGGCTGCAGCAGCAGACGCTGAGAAAGAAGAGCGCCATCTACTGCACCAGGACTGCTGCAGTCCCTGCTTCCACCCAAGAAGCCACCCAGCCTGACGCTGCTGTCACCGCAGCCAGGATCTTGTCCAGGGGCAGGCTTTTAGCGCACCTTGCGCATTGCTGCGGGCGCTCCAAATCTCCAAACTGGTGTTACATAATGGCACTGGTTGGATTACCAGGCTTTTACATCCATTTTATGAGATATAATTAAGAAGAAAAAAATAAATACACCACAAAGGGTTAGCCTACTAACTTCATTTCCATGTAATAAATGCTTTCAATCGTTTAAATTAGGCAGTTATTTGTTAAAAGTCCACCATTTACAATGGCTAATGCCCTCTGTTAAATTATCCTGACTCAAAAGCCAGGGGGAAAAAACGGAACCTTCTGTAACTGAGCTGTTACAAAACTGCAAATACTAAGCACACCGAAAACTACACAATTATGAGACTATACCTTCTCTTTTTGGGAGAGGAGGAACTTTGCTGGATATTTACCTACCTTCAAAATGACATAAGAGCTGCTCATAATGAACACTTTAAGGGGGTGATAGTGGGCACGGAGATAACTCTCACTGCAATACTGAACCTGTCTCCAGCCAGGGGAATTCGAGATCTCAAGGAGAGCTAATACGTATTTTTATTTTAATGAAGGACACCTAATGAAGCCAGCTACAAAAGAAGTCCTAACAGAAGGCTGACGGTGTTAAGTTTATTCTAACTCTTAAATGAAAACTTTCACAAATAGGAACGGTGTTCCAATATATTGAAAAACTTTTTTTATATTAGAACTGGGTCTTCCTTCCTTTCTACCCTTGTGCCTGTCAAATAGGTTTCCTTTATATCAAAGGAGGGAGACACGATGATTTATGTAACGCCAGCGCTACGTCTGTCTTGTACAACAGGAAGCACTGCCACACCTTGAAAGAGAAGCTGTCACCCTTACCGGGGAGCACAGTCCCACCGCGCGGCAGAACTATCGTGTTAGCGAGGTTATTGGGAGCAGCAGCCTTCCTCGACCAAGAAACATCGCCCAATCGCGCTGGCCTAAGGGACAAGGGTGCTCTGAAACTGCAAGGGGGCCATCTCCCTAGCCAGCCAAGCCAGAAAACGCAGTGGGTGATGTCAGCCTCAGGGAGGAAGGGGGCCGTGGAGAACACACCCAGCAAGGCGCACAGGCGCATCTGGCAATCTAGAAGCTGCAGAGAAAGCGGAAACGTGGAGGGCATCTCCCTGCGGACTGGGAAGTGGCGCGGAGTGCGGAAACGCCGAGCCGGGGGCCGGGCAGGGGAGCGCGCCCCAAGGGCAGGCGAGGTGCACGGGGGTGGCCCGCGCGGGGGTGGGAGCCGCCCCTCACCAGCCAGGGCGACCTCCCACTCCCAATCCGGGGCCGCGGCGGGCGAGCACAAAGCCC